CTGTGGGATCGATACTCTACTTGCTAATATACTGTCTATTCGATACGTATACTTTCGTAATAGAATTTTAACTGACACCTTATCAAGTAATCGACAGTCAAACTCCAATTGTAGTTGCAACTTCGATGTTCTCGACCAGCGACAACAATCAGGGAATCACTGATCGTTTGTAGTCTTGACTGAATAAAACATTGCTCGAGATCAAGACAAGGGCCATCATGGTCGCACCTCCCTCTTGTTGAAACTGCCCTCCCTTGAACACCTCTAAAACTTGTTGCATTGTCACTTCGTTCCCTAATCCCTAATAACGATGGTAAATTCCTCCAGGGATGGCCTCATAGGGATTGACAATAAAAGCTGGAAGGGTATTAAACTTCAGTCCTGTCACATAGCAGAACTCCCTCTTCGAGAACCGAGACTTCGTTTTGCCTATGGTAAACCATAACTCACCCTCAATGGCATCGAGTTCATTGATTCTATGCAACATTAGGTCGTGCACGAGACTGGCACAAAATAAACTCTTCTCTGATTTGACATCCATCATATGCCTAAAGCATGTTCTCTACAAGGCTTCCAACTCATTTACTTTACACAGCATTTCACGTATCACATGTAGATGCAACCACTTACAGTGGATGTTAATGCCAGCATTAAACCCCCACTGATGCCTCGGCACATAAGTAAAGATTCCACATTATCCTGGTCTATTCCTATACTAGCCATTTACAACATAAAATAGATAATATTTTCATTTTAGTTATTACGATCATTGTAGATTAAAAAAATAAAAGAAATTTTTGAGAAATAGGCTCACTCCAAAAATGATCCTCACAATAATTTTAGTTGTTTTTAGACAATCCTAAAAAAAAATAATTAATGCACGTGTCGAGCATGGATTATTAAGTAAATCAACATATATATATATATATTGAAGCATTACAGTTGACCCAAAATAACACAGAATGAATGCAATGTCGGTTATACAATGCGATACAGATAAATTTCATACAGTTATAAAATCGTGAAATTTCAAACAGAAAATAATCACGCAATGCCTTATTAGTAAGTCGAACAATTACTAACATTAAATTATGCAATGATCTATCAACAAGTCACGAAATGCTAAGAATAACTAAACGAATCACGCATACACTAAGTGACACCATGCCTAAACATTATTCTTGCAATGACCTATCAACCACTCACGCAATGACCTATCAACCAGTCACACAATGTAAACCTTAATGCAATCATACACACCTTAATTAACACCATGCCTGAACAATATTCACACAATGACCTATCAACCACTCATGCAACGACCTATCAACCAGTCACGCAATATTAAACCCTAGTGCAATCATGCACATCCTAAGTGATGCCATGCCAAAATCTAGTCATGCATAAGGTGCCAACCACGTAAGCAAGCCCTTAATCACGCAATACGGAAACCCTAAACCCAATTCCTATAAAAGAGTGATAACACATACATATCAACCAGTCATGCATGCCCTGTCACCTTTCGACCCTAACAACACCAACAATGCCACTTTCATGTTTATATTCAACAATTTCAAACAAGAAGACTATCAATATGAACAAGCAATATGCATACATTTATGCTCAAAAACCATAAATGAAAAACATGAAGAATAATAATAGCCTTAAAAACATTTCACAAGATTGTTCAAAATAAAATAAAAATATATTATACCTTTCTCCGCGTAATGTGAACTTCCTCTCACTGCAAAATATGTGAACTACCTTTATGTGAATAATAACCATTCCAAAATGCTTCTACCACTACGAAAAATGCTCAAAAGTTAAACTAGCAATGAATGCTTGCAACAAAATTCTTTGCTTGGGGATGTACGGTCTGTTGATGAGAACTGAAGAGTTACACAACTTGTAAACATATTTGACCCGTTAATAGGTTTTGGGTTGAGGCGTGAAGCCAAACAAATGGGTTGATTTCATTAAAGGCAATTTTGTTTAAATTTTAATTCTTTTGGTAAAAAACAGTTACAATTACGAGGATATATATTTTGAAAAACTCTATAATAAAATAATTTTAGTAAATAAACAAACAAAAGGTGATATAAATAACAAAAGAAGAAAAATCTTCTTGTTAAAACTTACAGTTCTTAAATAATCAAAACAACAATAAAATCCAAAGCATAAAGTATTGAACTACAAAAAAAAAATGAAAGCCCTTCTCTGAACCCATAAAAAAATTAGAGCAACAAAAAAGAAAATAAAGAGCCCACTTTGGAATCTCCCTTACATTTTCAAATTTTCTTTTCATCTCATATTTTTTTTTCCATCCCATTTTCTTACATATGAATGACTAGTCCAGCCAACAACCAAATTTGACCTTCCAACCCCCTAGATGTTACCGCTAAAATTGATGCGGCCTGGTGGCTTTCGAATGCTGTTGATTGTCACGGTGGTGGACTAGTCGTGATGGACCCTTGGTCACACAAAAGAGGCAAGAGGCGTCGAGATTTGGGGGAATAACGTGATTAGTAGGTCTATTGGGGCATAAGGTAAAAGAGTGTCCGTGGCTGGAAGGGTCAAGATTTGAGGGAATGCGGGCATATAGAAGTTAATCAAAAATATATTAATAGTATATATTTTTTATATAATTATATATCATTAATAAATCGATTTAATCAATTTAATTACTATATTCAAACTCTTGTAAGCCAATCAATTAAATCGAACTTAACTTTTTAATCGATAACAACCTGAATAGAATGGTCGATTTATTATGTTTTGACCAACTAATAGTCTCCTTGACTAACAATCCTCAGTGACTCTTGCCAGCTTGATGAAACAAATCAGATAAGCTTTACAAAGTTAATTTAGGTGAGAGCAGATGGGAAATTTAGCAGTGTAAGCAAGGCATTTCTGACTGGCAAATATTCTCAGACTTATGTAAAACAAGCACAAGAAAGCAATAACCGCAAGCTAAGTTGATTATAAAGACCATAGAAGAGCAAGATAGAAAGTAAAGAATCCCTGGGAACTTTGGCATAACAAACTGAAAACTTTATATGGTTTATCAGAAATTACACGAGAATGTTTACAAGATACAATTGTAACATAATCATAAAACTTCCTTCTCAAGTTTCAACACAGCCATAAAGGCTTCTTGAGGTACATCTACTTTACCTATTGCCTTCATTCTTTTCTTCCCTTCAGCCTGTTAACAAACGATTTAAAAAAATAATAATAAGGGATATTAATGGTGAACAAGTAACTGAAGCTTAGCATGAGGAGAAATTCGTGTTTTCACATTCATAATGCATCTTCATTTGCTTCTTTACTTTGACATTTAACGAGGAGTTTATAACACTAAGAACTCTTTTGGAAAGCTCATACTTGGGTATGCATGCTATTGTTGAACATGCATGCAGACAAAAAGCTTTCAACGAAGGTTGTTCAAATGAAGGATGATCACACAAGCACATTGAAGCATAATGTTGAGGGTATAGGCCAACATTCCAAGAAAAATGGCTTTTCTAGTAAGGTTCCTCAAATGAAGTATAATCATGCAAGCAAGCATATTATAGCTTAATCTTTAGAGTATAGACCAAAATTCCAGGTACTAATCTGTTTCAAAGTGTTTCTGAATGTTTGCCTATATTAAAACTATATTTTTAAATGAGTCCTTAATTCAACAAAGTGTTGCTACCTGAAGCTTTTGTAAGGAGTTAATAGTGCTTAGAACTCTTGCTAGCTCATACTTGGAAAAGAATAAAAAATTTTAAAATGCAGAACATGTATGCAAATAATAGAACACACTGTGGAATGTACATGAGAATGAAAAGTTTTCCAAGGTTGGTCAAGTGAAGATTAAAATAAAAATATCTCAGTGTAATCTTTAGGGTATATGTCAACCATAATCAAATAAAGAAAGCATAGAGAGCCACAAAAAAGCTATGAACGTAACTGGGAAATTAATCGAGTACCTTTTAAATGAGAAACTTTAAGTATACGAGGATTAGAGGCACAAAAAGCTATGCACGCAACTGGGAAATTAAGCAAGTAATCTTTAAATGAGAAACTTGATGTATAGGAGGATTAGAGGCACAATCTCATAATCACCCTCATTTAAGCATATTTTATAAGAAGCCACTGCCTTATGAGGTTTTCTTCGTTAATCATGCACTTATTTTTCCATAAAAAGACAGTGCTTTTTAAATGTTATGAAAAGCTTTAACTACAGAAAAGAAAAATGAAGAATGTGTCAAAGGCTTTTTGTCAACTCTCTAGCATAAAATGGAGCTATCTTTAAAAGAAAAATATAAACATGAGATTTTGTAGAGTAGTAAAAGTTCAAGTAGCCGGTTCTTCTGTGTCTATGAGTTGTACGGTTGTAATATGATTTTGAGCTATGAACATATATCCTTGTTCATTGTTTATACATTTTGGAAGTGAATACCCTACATTTTTTAGCTTGGAGAAAAGCTCAATTGCATAAAGCTTGGGTAGTGCCTATCAAAACAGAACTTGTTGCTTTGATAAATTTAAGCAAAGGGTGTTTTTTTTTTTTTCCTTTTCAGGAATATGACAAAATATGGGATGTAGGACAAGTGAAAACCATCAAGAATAGCTATGGAATCTCTCCTTTGTTTTTGGTTATTTCTTTCTAAACTCTGCACTTCATTGCTTTAATCTCAAGCACTCACTGCCACTTTGGACCTAAAAGAAAAGCCATGTATATGTAACACCTTTCTTAACAAATAAAAACTATTCTTGAACTCTCACCACAATAACTTAAGGTATTAGGTGAAGTGGCTCATGACAAGTTATTAGAGTTGTCCACACATTCAATTCAGTGGGTTTATCATGAGAGGGCTTGTTAATGGATAAATATTTCTGGACCTTCACCAAATAGTTAAAACTATAAGGATGAGCGATTACTTATACTCTTAACCAGATCCACACCAAAGTAACCATCAATGAGAATGAAATTTGATTGTTTGAAGCTTACTTTAACAGATGAGTATCCAAATCCACCTCAATTCTGACTTATTGTTGAACTATAAATTATCACTCAGTTTAATGTGTTCAAAGGGGCCCCAGAAAAATGCAGCATGTTGAAACTTGGACAGTCTTCACTACGTTTAACTTCATTCTATTGCCAAGGCACAAATGTGTGATTTTACTACTCTTAGTAAAGTAATTAAATAGCTAGATAGAAATGTCAAAGATATCATGTATATCAGTTCAGAGACACTGGCTTTGATTATGTACTATGATTGTGATAACCTCCCTAACTTCTCTATCTTCTTATTTGTGGATGAAAATGTCTGTCAAGCCCTTATAGTTAATGATTTAGAGTGATAGTTCACAAAAATCTTCTTAGGTCAGTATGGTGGTATTGTTATGATGTAAAACAATCAAATGCTGGCAGGAATTAAATAGAACAAGCAAAAATAATGAAAAAGTTATTAGTCGACAAAAATATTTTTGGTTTGAGGGGCAGGAAAGGATGACAGAAAATATTGTGTTCCAAGCATATTTTGAAAAGTAAATAAAAGCACCTGCTTCTTAAGGAGTTTCTTTTTTCTTGAGATATCTCCACCTACAAAGAGAAGTTCAAAAAAAAAAAGAGCCTTGTCATCATGAAATAAATAGACATTAATCAATCATCACAACTCAGTAAGAAATTACAAAAACTGAAGCCTAACAACAGAAAAGTTATTCATCCTACATGAGGCATGAGGTTAAGCAGTCGTTAAATAATAGAGGAAACAAGTATGTAATATGCTGGAAAGAAGAGATATAAGAACCATAATGGACAAAAAAAGAAATTTAAAATTTGAAGTGAAAAAAAATTCAATAATTCAGATGTGTAATCATTCAAGATTAAAACTCTTACAAGAATGGAGGCAACTGAAACTCCACAAGAGATCATTATGCAGTGTTTAGAAATTAAATAAAAGTTGAATGATCTAATTAGATATCATAAATTCCATTTCAGAGACTTATGACTTTCAGTTAAATGAAATGAGTAAGCATAGCTGGTCTAACATTATCATAGCAGGGGGAAGTCACCTGTAAAAGAATAAATCTACTAAAATTTAATGGAAACATCAAACAACCAAACACAATTTTGTTACTAAAAAATTTATCAACCTGATCTAACAATGATAATCATACCATAGGTTGCATGATGCAGGCGCATCAAGAATTCTATTTTATTTAGCATTTTCATTAGCTTAGGATTTTATTTTCTTTAGATTGAGATTCTTTTTCCTATCTTTATCAGAATTTTAGAACTTTAAGTCTTCATTTAGGATTATGATTATATTTGATTAGGATTTATCTTAGCTATTATAAATAGGTGATCCTAGATAGAGGATTATCATTATCATATTTGTTTACACTGAATTTTTATTCAAGAGGTCTCTTTAAAAAACTCAGTTATCTTTCTATTGTTCCAATACAATCAACCCTATTCTACCCCTAATTGTTGAAGTTCTAATTGCCCTAAACTTTTCAACTACATCAAGTGGTATCAAAGCAAATGATCTTACTATCTTATAAGGATTTTTAGCTAGGAGACTATGGTTGGCCGAGGTAGAGGTCCAAGTAGAGGCAATCAGCCCCAACAAGCTGAGTTGGCAAAGATGCAGAGGATGCTTGATGACTTCACCCAGGCTGCATAAGCCTTGCAACGTCAGGAACCAGTGGAAGCCCAAATGGAGAATCCGGAAAGTGACCACAGCTCCATTGAGATTCAAGATCAAGGATGATGATGATTTTGAGAACGAGAACCCCTTTCATCAATATGGACCCGCAAATCAAGCGGCAAGAGTTGGATTGGAGGACTAGTTATTACACGCTCTTGATTTAAATGGTGGAGAAATCAAGATCAAAGTAACTGATTTTTATGAGAAATTTCATGCGGAGGAATATTTGGATTGGGAAGTTAGTTTGGAAAATTACTTTGAATGGAAACCAAAGACAGAGAATCAAAAAGTGATACTTGTAAAGCTGAAATTGAAGGGTACTGCACTTTAATGGTGGAAGAGAGTTGAAGAGCAACGTGCACGACAAGGGAAGCTTAAAGTCAGCACTTGAGAGCACATGAAAGTTAAATTACGAAAGCAATTTTTACCTGTTGATTATACTATGGAATTATATAAAAAGTTTCATTGTTTGAAACAAAATAACATGACCGTTGAGGAATATACATTAGAGTTCAATAACCTATCACTTCTAGTTGGGTTAACCAAAAGTAACAAACAAATTTCTTCTCGTTATCTTGCTGATTTGAATCATTCTATTAGAGACGAGATGGGAGTAGTTCGTTTATACAACATTGAAGATGCTTGTCAATAAGCTTTATCAGCAGAAAAACAAGTGTCACGCTATGGTGCTAGAAAGCCCTTATATGGCACCGATTGGCAAAACAATTCTAGAGCAAGACAAGGTTACCAACCATCTCAACAAAATTATCGAGAGGCTACAACAACCAGTAAAACTAATAGGGGTGCAACCAATGTTAAAACAAATGATAAAGGCAAGAGTATAATGCCATATGGTGGACAAAACAGTTCTAGTTCTTCCACAAATAAAAGAGGTAGCAATTCCCATATTCGATGTTTTACTTGGGGGGAGAAGGGACACACTTCTTTGGCTTGCCCACAAAGAAAGGTGAACTTAGCAAAATTTAGGTAGAACCCATTTATGATAAATATGATAAGGAAATAGAAGAAATTGATGTGTGTCCTGCACAAGGTGAGTCCTTGGTGGTACAAAGAGTGATGACTACAACAATCAATAAGGAAGAAGAAGATTGCAGGAGGCAAAGTATTTTTTGCACACATGTTGTTTGTGAAGGTAAAGTGTGTGATCTTGTTATTGATGGAGGAAGCATGCAAAATATTATTTCAAAAGAGGTGGTGGACAAATTGAAGCTTCCTACAAGCAAACATCCTCATCCTTACAAGATTAAGTGGCTAAAGAAAGAACATGGGGTACCGGTAACTACTCAATGTTTGGTGAAATTCACTATGGGAGGTAACTTGGATGATGATGCTTTATGTGATGTGCCTATGGATGTTGGTCACGTTCTTGTTGGTAGACCTTCGTTGTATGATCATGATATGGATCATAAGAAGAAGTCAAATACCTATTCCTTCTACAAGGACAACAAGAGGTATACTTCATATCCTCTTAAAGAAGAGGTTAATCAATTGGCAACTTCAAGCCCCACAAGCAGCAAAATTGCTTGGTATTTATCTACTGAAAATTTTGAAGTTAGAGGTAGTAATGAACAGAAATTGAAACGAGCGAATCCAGGCATCTATGAGGAGTATATTAAGGCCTAATGTAGGCGCATCAAGAATTCTATTTTATTTAGTATTTTCGTTAGCTTAGGATTTTATTTTCTTTATTTTATTTAGTTTGAGATTCTTTTTCCTATCTTTATTAAGATTTTAGTACTTTAAGTCTTTATTTAGAATTATGATTACTACTTGATTAGGATTTATCTTAGCTATTATAAATAGGTGATCATAGATAGAGGATTATTATTATCATCGTTCTTTATACTGAATTTTTATTCAAGAGGTTTTTTTAAAAAACCCAATTATCTTTCCATTATTTCAACACAATCAGCCTTATTCTAACCCTAATTGTTGAAGTTCTAATTGCCCTAAACCTTTCGGCTATATCATTGCAATATGAGAATTAGACATTACGTAGCAATCTTCAATTTGAATACATTTTCAAAGCATCTTCGGAAGTGGAAAACTGATCATTCAAGTTTAAGTAATGACTTTCAGGCCAAAAAAAAATGTAAGTAAATGACTTGAAGATGCTTGGATCTGTGACTTCAGCTTGGGAAATTATCATGCAACTAAACTAGCAGTTTTTAAATACTAACATAATAATGAACAACAATCCTAAAGAGCAATCATGAGCATAAAATCTTTTATAGATAAGAATTATTAACATCTCAAGAATTTCTTTACAACATCCATCCTACTTCCATAAGGTTGAGATAACAGTAGATGGAAACTATATGCTTTCCTATGATAACTTGCTATGATATATAATTCTATAGGAAAATGTTAAGTCTGAACTTGGCCAACTCAAACTCCACATGATTTCCTATATGCTTTCCTATGCTTGGCATATACTTATGATTTGTCACCTCTTTCTCTTTCTTTAGTCTTACATGAGTTGTTGACTCAGTAATTTAACGTGCATGAAATTTTGTTGTTGGTCTACAAAGGGGAAAGCAAAGCCACTATCATCCAAATAATCTCCTTCTTCTTTCAATATGTTTATCATAAATTATCACTTATAATCAATTTTTAATCAAAGAAATAAATTAAATTTATATAATTCAATAGATATATCCTACTTTATTAATATATAACTACTACCCATTCCCTGATGGGCTCTTTTAGTCTTATCCACATAGCTTCAAATTAACACACTAGACAAGCCAAAGAATCCCACACATCCCCACATCTAAGTCCAAGCAACATAGCTTATGAATATATTTCAGAAAGAGTACTCACCAAATATCCTATCAGCGAAGAGGAAAATGTTCACGTAGAAAAATATATCTTAAAATACACTTACCGTAGCATTTGGCCAATACATCCTTTCTAATTGCTGACAAAGATTCACTAGCAATTACTTTTGAACCTATGCATGCCTGAATTGAGTAAATAGAACACAAATTGGAATCGCATTAGCATGTGACTAAACTAATTGAGGAAGTATGCACTCAATGATTGGTGAAAAAGGAAAGAAATAAAAAGAACTTTATTCAAAATGAAAAACTTTTCCACTGATTGGCAATGTTTTTTGCTTTTCTTATTTCCTTATATTGTTTTTAAATGTAGTAATCTGCCACTTTTTACTTCAATGCCTGAGGATAAATAGTAGATTCTGGACAATACAAGCACTTGAAAGATATGTATGTGGATCAATATACAGTATACGATATAAGCCTCCAGAGCAACCTTGTCCTGATTCTGAAGCTGCTTAGCTCTGATATTATTAGTGCATGACAAATGATGTTCATCAAAACTGGTGGAGAAGCTAGCTCTCTTACAAATTCCTTAGTGGTTATCAATGATTTCCTCTCCACAGGAAAATCTTAAAAAAGTCTCTGAGTGTGTGCGCTTGCGTTACATACTTCACCAAAACTAATAAAGATAGCCTTTTTATTTATTTTTTTTATGTATTTATTTATTTATTTATCTTGGAGGGGGGAGGGGTTTGGCAGTGGCCAAGGACTGAAAATAGCTGCAAGTGGTTATTTCCTAACTTTTCCACAATTTGGAATATTACACAAGCAGAAGACAATAGTGAAAAATGTTCACGAGAATTTCATATAAAGAAAGAGTTGAGTAGGTAAAATTAAATTATTACAAATTTTTGTTTTTAACAGATAAATGACTCAACCCTCCCTAGTGGTCAAATGAAAAGTTTAATGTGATTTGACACTTTTTATATTGCAAGTATGAAAAACTCGCCAGCATAATAGTATAACTTTAATAATGACAGCAAAACTATTATGGTAGTATAAATACATTAAACAGTTATAACTTTTAGACAAGGTCAAATATTGAACAACACATTCTTTCATCCAATTGAAACAATTTGCAGGTTAAATGGCACACATAAAGCAACTTCTGTGCATTATGCAGCTTTTAAATGATAATATAAACCAGATACTTCACAAGAATTGGTTAAAAGGAAAATAAAACATCATATCTTAATATATTCAACAATATTTCAAGCATGTACATCTTACTTGAATTGGTACTTTAAACATTTGTCGAGGTATAAGCTCCTTCAGCTTTTGAGTCAAAGCCCTCCCAACAGAATATGCCTACAAAAGTTACCAGATATTGATTAAACTGCTTTTTAACGTACAGAATATAAAATTCAAAATAAGCTGCCTAAATATGTCTCAAAGTTAAGCATGGTTTAACAAGGAGAAGGGAGTTACACTACTGTAATATCACATCTGTGACAAGCTTATAGAAATTACGAAGGAAAGCAAACACCTCTTTACGGTTAAAAACTAGTCTCAAACGGTAACAACATACTAAAGCATATATTAATTATTTTGATAAGTAAATTCAAGAACATAATGTGGACCATAGCTGGCAACATTGCTTTTAGCTTGGAAGATTTGAATAACAGCCTTAGACAAAGACCAATAGAAACGTAGACCAACATTGACACATTAAGCTTATCTGAATAATTCACTTATTTATTTATGATTTTCACAAAATGCTCATTATTGCTTAACTTACAATCTCATCTAATATAGCTATGGACTTAGATTAACTATGTTAACAATAGGCTGAAAATATATAGGGAAAATTCACCTACAGCTCCTATTTAGACCTTTTTTCACTTAGCACCTTGTGGTAACGAAAAGGTTCTCTCTCCTAATATTTAAAACATAATGAAAAGATGACCCTCACCTTATCCTTGTGCACGATAGCAGACAATGGTTCCACATGATCACCATTAATCAGAATGTCAAGCTTTATCAATTCACTTTCCTTATACCTGTAGTCAAGTCAAACATTAACCCCACTGTGATTGTGGTGTAAATTGCAAATTTGAGGTACGTGATTTATTTAAGAAATCAATAATTTTTCAACATGAACACATATATGTCTGCCCAATTCAAAATGAGGTACATGCTCCTTTTAAAATGAAAAACCCAAAAATACTGTGGAGAGATGATGAGATACAACAGAACAAATGAAAACCTAAGAAAGAAATAAGGTCCAAATAATTGGGCACCATGAAATGTTATCTGAAAAGTCAATGTCAAGTCTCTGTGAAACAAAAGTAGTTATGGGGTAAATCAAAAAATCATTATTTCCTACAAACTGATAACATAGAAAGCATGGCAAATTAGTAGCTCAATTCCTAAATTCTCCCATATTACATCTTATATTTTCGGTTGTCATTCAAGATAAAATGTTATTGATATAGAATCAAAACACACTAGTTAAACTTCAAAAGTAGGTACCACTAGTGAAATAAGGAAATCATTTCACCACCCAGAAATAAGAATATAATGGATATTGTTACATGCACTCACCCAAGAAAAGTATATTCCATGCTAGCATACCCCTTACTTCTGGACTTTAACTGGTCAAAGAAATCACCTACCATCTGTGGAATGAACATAGACATAGACCCAGCGATAAGAATAAATGGAACTTCTCCATAAAAAAGGTCAAAGCCATTGACAAAGTGATCTTTAGCTGAGAAAAAAGCAGGATGATATCAACAAGGGAAAATATTACCTCTGCAAGGGGTAACTCATAGATGATGGATGCTCTGTTCTCCGTGATAAATTTCATCTCTTTGAATTCTCCTCTTCTGTCTTGAGCCAATTCCATCAGCGAACCAATAAAGTCCTTTGGTGTAAGCATCTCAATCTGTACATGTTACTTCATCGTATAGAGTAGCATATAAATTTACAAGTTTCAAAAAAAGCTCTCTTAAATGCAAAAATTCAACACTTAATCAAGTAACAAATATCTTAAGATACAAGAAATAACCTTCACAAATGGTTCCTCAATTGACCTTCTTTGACCAGGTTCAGGAAGCAAAGATGGATTTGAGCATTCAACCTTCAATAATATTCATATTTGAATGGCAATAAGTACTACATGAAAGATCCTACATTCAAACAAGTTTCTTGTACAGCAACAGCCAAGTATCAACTTATAAATCAGAATTATAGTAACAAGCTTTTCACTAGCAGAACATCAAGTATAAATACTTTAGCATCACAAAATAATGTCAAAGCCCGATAGTATCACAGCAATATTCAATATACTTGCTACCACCACAAAAATGATGCCATTGGTGCTTGAAACAATGATTCCAATAAGCTGACAAGCTTCCACATACTATATACTTGCCCAAGAGAATACCAGTATTTATTTTACTTCTTATTTTTCCTTTTATGGTCAGATCAGAATTTTATGATTATGTTTAGAAGGATAGCATTCAAATTCAAACTAGATCAGGATGAATCCTAAGAATCCTCTTGCAATTAGCATTCTAGTACAGTTTTATGATTGAGCCAAGAACAACATGGAAAATTTTATTCCCTATGAAAATCAAATGAAGACTGTTTTTTCCACGTAAAGAACATGTAATGGAATTTCTTAAGTGATTCTATAGTATATTACATCATCTGAAGTAATAATTTCCTAAAGACATCCTAGAAAAATGGTCATACCGTCCATATAACAAAACAACCTTTTCATTAACAATTTAAATCTGTCTTCTTATTCACAAGTTGTACATGGGCAAAGTCTGATGTCAAATTCTTGCAAGTTTTTGGTTTTATTTTATTTTTGTCAGGGAGAGAGGGGCAGAAAGAGAGAGACAGGTTGAAAAATCCTTATGAGATTTGAGAAAGAAGAATGAGAATTTGCATCTTTGGAAAGTATAAGATGTTCAGTTTCTTCTCAATCCTTTTTCAGATATGATCTTTTCTTTTTCATGCAGAGAAATCATTAACATTTCTTCCCCTCAAATGCAAAAGATCATGGACAATGCATGGACTACAAAGAAAAACCAGCATGACAATGCAAATTTGTTGCAATTAATTTTATCAAATCTTCAGTGTTTCTTCTTGAAAAGAAGACATAACCAGCTATAATAAAGCATTAGCTTCCTAGCAACATTCTCGAAATATAATTTAAATAAGAAGTGCGGTAAGGGTAGAGAAGAAATTACAGTATCACCATTTATACAGTTCACTCTATACACAACACTAGGAGCAGTGGTTATTAGGCTCAGATTATACTCCCTTTCCAGTCTTTCCTGTAAAACTATAATAAGTTAGAGCCAACACTGAATTTCAAAAGCTGTCCAGAATTCGAACAAGTAATAATAAGAAACAGTGAAGAAACATTAATAAATAAATAAAGAAAACTACAGGGGCATAAAGGTCGTGCCTGAACAATTTCCATGTGGAGAAGACCCAAGAACCCACATCTAAAGCCAAAACCCATAGCACTTGATGTCTCAGGCTCAAACTATATATTAAGACCAAAACCATAACAAACAGAAAAATTGCACTCAGTAATACATCAGAAACACTATCGATATGATCAAATATCTTAAGTTCACAGCATAACATAATATTTCTACTGAGGTTGATGTGCTTTGCAAGCTGAATCCATTTCAGAAAAGAAAAACAGATGAACATTTGATATAGTCCGTGCAGGTTACAACTTGAGAATTAGCAACAAATGTATCAAACAAAACATCCTTGAGATTAAATCATGAGTGACCATAACTCAGAAATTCAAAAATTTGGGGAAAACCATATAAAGTCATTCCTTTTTTCTTTCACAGCTGTGTCATTAGTTTTTCTTTTTGATTTTCTTTTCAAGAGAAAACAAAAGGAAAAAATTAGTTTTAGTAGTTCAACAAACTCTAGTATTCAAAACTTAAGTCAGGCCCACCAAAAATTTGAAGGTGCATTAAAAATCTCAGCCGGGACTCCAGCTTCTCAGTCTCCTTATCCTAGAATCTTCAAGTTTATTACCAATCCAATTCATAAGCCTATGATAAGAAACAAATCAAGTTTGAGAGCTGTCATACTGAAAGCTATGGAGAGCCATTTGCATGTTATAAGGTGCATTTTCTAGATGTTTCAAGTATTATCAATTAGTCAGGAGGCTCTCCAATATTAGTGCAACCCTTAGGAATTTTAACAAATGAAAAAGGTTTTACAGGAGTCAAACACATATTTAAATGTCTCAACTTTTGAAATAAAAATGATATCTAAGATTTCTATAAGAACTGATACTTATGCTAATATTCAATCTGTTACATGTTTCCACCGGTAGCTAGATATCTATCAATGATACAATTATGACTATTTAAAGAAAATGTGCTACTAGCCTGAATTCAGTAAAAATTTTCAATGCTAATTTATAACTCTTGTCTAAGTTCAAATATGATGGAGAATCCAAGAATATTACTATATATGGTGATATTAGCATGAGGTGCTGAGCTCAATAGATTCAGCCTCTTACTTTAAAAGTCATAGTAGTGCGATATCAAGAATACAACATGATTTAAGTGGAAACCTAAACCTCACTGGCCGTGCAATGAAGACAGTGATACAGTGCCAGAAAAACAAATTCTAGATAGCTATGGCAGCAACCTTAGTTTTTATATTTATTTATTATTTATTTTCAATGTAACATGATTTTGATAACCTACTGCATTTTTACTGAAAACCATAAATGGTTAAGAATTAAAAAATAGAAAATATTTACTTGATAGTATATTTAGTTATATAGTCACCTTCAATGCAGCATCATTCAGTTGCAGTTTTTCCAATGCATCACGCAACTCTGAAAAGCTGCCAACAATACATATAAAAATGAGTGATGCCAGAGATACACAGGCACCTGCAATGGCATTTTTGAAATTCAAGAGGAGAAAGGACAATTGAATCAATACTGGTCTGCATCAACAGGAAAAAGGCCACAAAACACCATTGGAGTGGCTTTCTCATAACCCGGTAGCGACCTTTCTGCCTTTCTACCATAGTGAGTGATAGTGTCACCCACTCTTGCATCTGCAACAGACCTTATAGATGCCGAAAGGTACCCTACCTGAAGTTATAAAATATTATAAAGGCTGAAAGCAAATAGAAAAAGAACTAAAAATATAAAAAGAGTTCGCATTAAGATATAGAACATAAAGTGTCGAAATTGTTCTGGTTAAGTCACAATGTGTCATATTATGCATCGCTTGCATCAGGCACTTGTAGTGGTCTTATATTCAAGTGGCACTTCTGAAGAAATTGCACTACGTCTTAGGTATGATGCTTTAAATTGGTATGAGGACCCTTGTTTACATTTCCATTTCTATTATTTTACCCATTTTCGCAGTCCAAATGATCAACACATGCTTTGTAGATGCTATATAGAGCCTACTGCTAAGAAGGTGTGGTAAATGGTATTATATCCCACACTAGTTGTGCTAGGGTCTGTTATCGCCTTGATTGAAGTTAGACCTAACGCCTTTACAACTACAATCAAAAACTTGGGAAATAAGTTTATTGACTGTGAAAACCAACATTATTGCTTCCTTTTTATTTATAAGTATTAATAAATGCAGACAAAATAATTCTCAACATTGTTCTTATGATAAATCCAAAATGTTCTCAAATGCTTGTTAACCAATGGGGATTTAGAAAAGAAAATATGACAAAGAAAAGGGAAAATTACATAAAACTATCTTGTGGTTTTGGTAAATTACATAAAAGCTAGCATCTAAAGACATCAAGAAAAAATATAAGTGAACTTCTTAAACCCATACTCTAATTGACTATGAAACTATCAAATAACAAATAATAATGTAAATAAAACTAATAACACAAAGCAGATAAATAAATATAACATAAATTTTCAAGCAAGGATTCTTCCATAAATACTTCACCACTTTCACTCAACTCCTATAATCAAAAGACTAAGACACATCAATGATCCCAAAGTGAATATTTGAAGTCAAGGTTCACAATGAAAATAAAATAATATATTACTAAACCTTTTGAGAATGCATAGAGTTCCTCTACCTGTACAGCAAGCGAGAGACAGAGAGAGAGAGAGAGGGAGAGAGAGAGAGAATGCAAGCAGAAAACAAAATAGTACCAAATTGAGGATAAATGATAGCAGGAAAACAAACCATTGGTAAAAATCAAATTACCTCACCCGCATACAATTCCTCTACCTGCATCTGATTGGGAGATAGAACTCCAATTTCATCAGCAAAAAAATCCTGCATTGCAAGACATAAACTATAAGAATTTTATACAAAAGATGTAAGAAGCTCTGCTTTCTATATGGAAGGGAAAAAGAAAGAATAAGATAAATTATTTCACTTTACCTTCTTACTGGCCATAAAATAAATTCTGTCACCTTTCCTTATAGTCCCATCTATGACTCGAAAATAGACAATAACACCCCGATAAGGATCATAGTAGCTGTGGAGACATTAAAAAGCAATGTAAGTAACTCAAGGCAACAATAAACACTACGAAAACTGCAGAAGAAAACTTTGTACAATGATGGCAGCAACATTCATAACTATTACCAAGAAATGAGTTATGGCACGCCAAGAATAACACAATTCTCAATTTAGTAATCAATTATTACATTAGGAGCTTTATGTGGTCCATGTTGAAGAAGGCACGTAAAGCAGTATGGGGAGAAAAATGGAACACAGAGAGGGAACGAAGAAGCACAGAGAGAGTATTATTTCTTATTTAAAAGATTAAAAACTTAATAACAAAATTATTTCTTATTGTTACTAAATTTATAAACACATAATAAAGAAATATTTTATATTAATATTTAAATATTCAAATACGTTTTCAACTAAATTTAAATGCAAATGCACAATTTATTTAATAAAATAATAACTTCAGATGCATCTCAAGCTTAAAATTCTTTGCCCAAGAGCAAAACAAAGCAGTCTGGGCTTGAGAGCCAGGTGGCAGCCACCCTATGGATGGTCTAGTCATAATGTTTTACAGGATTTATTATAATTTCACTCCTCCTTTCTACTGCAACAAACAGTTACAAAACTAAATAAATAAGTTTTTAAAGATGAAATCTTAAATTTTGAAGGTGAGGGAAAACAAAGGAAAAAAAAAAAAAGAACAACAATAAGTAAAAAGGTAGACTAGCATAAGAGAAAGTGCCTAATAAAGAATAAATGAAGAGGAAAAAATAACATGAAATGGGAGGAAAAGAAAGAAAAGAAATAAAGAATAAAGAGAAAAAGAAAACATGAAAAAGTGAAAACAAAATGAAAGAAGAACCAAACGTTTAGGATAAAAGAACTGAAAGTTGAAAATAAAAAACAAAAAAACCCCAGAAAAACGAAAAGAAATGATCTAGAAAGAACAAGGAAAAGAATAAAAACAGAGAACATGATTGAATAAGTAAAAAGAAACAAAAGTAAATCTTTAAAAATTTGCTGAGCGTACATGTATTTAAATTTCATTCTTAAGTACTGAAAATTTAACCTTTGCATTTTTTGTATTTTTGGGGGAAGGGGGATTCAAACCTACACTTCATAGAAAGAGATCATGCACCAACCAATGAGCCAAATGCTTGGATGCAAATTTAACCTTTGCACATTTGATTGTATGATTATAGACTAAGACAATATATTTCCTTTTCTAATACCATAGTATATTAATAAAAATGTCTACGCTTTGATCAGTATAGTAGCAGCCTTCACAACTAACAATACAAAATTATTGAATTGGTTATTTGATATGAATGAAAAAATACAAAATTGTAGCTATCAAAAGAAATAATAAAAATTTCCATGCATCAAATGACTGACAAGCTAGTTGAAAAGAATATAGGACATTACAGTTCGCTATTGACATTTATTATATGAAGTTACATAGACTCTAGCATTAGAATTCAAGAACATAAAAACAGTACAAGAGGAAAATTATATTATACACGAAAGAAATGCATTGCAAGACATGATCAGCAAATGATCATTAGAGCATACTGAAATATTGCAGTTGATATCATCAATATGTGCAATTAATAAAACAAAGTAAGATGTATACCTATCAAATATTAAAGCTCTTAGAGGACTCCTAGCAGCATCATGAGGAGGAGGAATCCTTTCAACAATTGCATTAAGAATTTCAGTTATACCAATTCCCTCCTGAAGAAAAAAACCAGTTTTTAGAATTACCAAATTCCATCACATACACAAAGTATGCCCTATGTGTACAGAAACAAAAACAATCCAGAACTAACCTTTGCAGAGCAGCATAGTGCATTGCTACAATCTAACCCGATAACCTGCAAAGAAGTGCCATAGCAGTAGTTCAAAACAATCACACTGGTAATCAGTTTCTTATGATTAGTAAAGCCAGTAGCAGTATCAGTTTACAAGCAGCATATTCACAGAGAAACTTTGAGGAGATGCAATGTGAATCCTTCAATCCAAATACGCACAGACATAAGCACACACTGGCACACACGCCGCATAGATGCACTAATGTCTTAACAGACCAACCTCCTCAATCTCCTTGATAACACGATCTGGTTCAGCACCTGGAAGATCTATCTTGTTTAGAACCTGTAGAAAAAAATCGATAACGAATCATCTTAATGAATCATTCAATAAATAACATCACTAATCTACACTACTATAACAAAGGCAAAATGGACCTAAACTCCAATTGAGGAGAAAATATCGAATACACAGGTAATCATATTCAGAACAGGCTTCATATAAATAACAAAGAAATACATTTCTAGTTCTCAGCATAGATAGCATATTCACTTGAAAGAAGACAAACATAGAACGAAGAGAATATGAATATAAGATTATGAAAATAAGGTGGAACAGGCAATGATGGGAAGAGTTTGAAGAATTTCTACATTACTTGAGAAAGATACTAGAAAGAGAGGAAACATAAATTCATAACCACACTGATTGAAGTCAGGGGCATAATGTCCATTATAGAAACAAAACGGAATAAAACGGAACAGAATCATAAGCCCCAAGCACTGATTTGGTAGACTTACTTGATTCGGAGCTGAAGAGGAGCCATCCTGATTTTTCTGCTTAGTTGCTGCTCACAGCATTGTAGCATATTTTTTTCATGGAAAATGTTGCTTACGTTTGCAGCACTGTAGTGACGTTAAAATTTTCCTTCTTTTCAAGTTCATTGTCCAATTAGTAAGGCCATTCTAAGTCATTAACAAAAGTTTTTATTATCCTTTTTTCATTTAAATTAGTTTATGTTAGGTGGTCCAAATAAGTTTATTCTGATTAGCTTTGAATTGCTTTCTTTGCGACACAATAAACCATTATCAGAATTTTGAAACCATCTCATCTCATGAAACCTAGAAAGAAAATTCAGACTGATTTCATAAAGGCTACAACACTCAAAAAGCCCTTGTACTTTCTCAAATTCCCAAATAAGCTCCTATCCTTCTATATTGTACCCAATTAGGCCCTTAAAGTACTATAAGGGCTTTATAAACGCTAGTGTTGCATGCCATGTAAGCACCAACTAAACATGAACTTTCATATTCTCCAGGTGGGTGCTGATATGGTAAAGATAATGGTCACTTAGACACTAACATGGCAAAGATAACAGGCTTTAACGGGTCCATCTAAAATAAGGGCTTCATTAAACAAAACTGGTATTTTAAGGGCTAAATTAGGTACAATAAAAGAATAAGGGCTTTTTGACAAATTTGGGAGAGTACAAGGGCCTTTTAGTATTTTAGCGTTTCTTAGATGTATTATTGTGAGGCTAATAGCTTGCTTTTTCCTTTTGTTATATCACTTGTCTAATGTACAGACAAAAACAAAACCAGATTGCTCAGATTGTCATTCTCTAATTACCTTATCACAATTCCTCCAAACAAACCTACCAGGTTCAGTCATCTAGTTTCCTTTCTGTGTCAGCACACGTCATATTCAACATCTTCCAAGATTCAAAGTGGGTGTAAGGATCAACTTTGCACTTTTTGAAAGAAAGTAGTAACAATAGCCATAACACATGCATGGTTAAATAATCATTTTTGTTGTTTCCATTATATAGTAACCCACAGCTGACTTCATACTGTCAATTAACTAAGTTGAACAACAGAGCAAAGGACGACAACAAACTTACAGAGATAATTTCGAGGTTGTTCTCCACGGCCAAATAGACATTAGCCAGAGTTTGTGCTTCCACACCCTACAACATAATACACCTTGTCCAATAACACGAGTACTAGCAACAGCAGTAACAACAGTGCTATGGTAGCATATACATTAATTTGCAAATATAACTGGATTTAAATTTCACTTTACCATCCTCAAAATAAAAGTTCAAGTAAAAGAAGAACTATACAGTGACAACATTTAAAGAGCTTAAGTAATCAAATCAAAGCAATTGCAAGTATAGAGTAACCTGAGAAGCATCTACAACAAGTAGGGCACCCTCACATGCAGCAAGCGACCGAGAAACCTAGATAAAATGGGTGTCAAAGAGAAAAGAAATAAAAAACTATCGAATTCAGGGATTTAAATAAAAGCAATCATCCCACCAGTGAATCTATGCACATGTATGGGAGTCACTCTTAAGTTATCACACGTTTGTCCCCACAAAGAAAAAAAAAATGTTTTCATACATCATTCCCAACAATAATAACTTCATCATCAACCACATATTCTTGACTTCTAACTAACTATATATAGGCCATGACAAGTTTCTCTACTTGATCGAATTCTTAGTTCAACAAGATAACAACCTTATTCTACCTTGCTTAGTATAGATCATCACCTAAAATGGTTTTATCATGCAAATGCGGTAAGGATAGCTTATTTTACAGCTGAAAAAGCGTTCGAACCTGACTTTCAATCAGAAAAGAATAAAGACACTTTCATGTCCCTGTTTTCAGGAATTTTGTATCTGTTATCAGCTACATCAAAATTGAAATGAGATACCTCATAAGGGAAGTCTACATGTTCTATATATCATTCCCAACAATAATAACTTCATCATCCACCACATACTCCTGACTTGTCACTAACTATTTATAGGCCATGACAAGTGCCTATACTTGATCAAATTTGTAGTTGGATGAGATAACAACCTTATTCTACCTTGCATGGTGTAGCTCATTACCTGAAGTGGTTTGATCATGTGAATGCAGCAATTTACCGCTAAAAAAGCCTTCTGAACCTTACTTTGAATCAGAAAAGAGTAAAGGCACTTGCATAGTGCAATGTTCAGGCACTAAAAAATTTTTTGTACGTTATCTGCTACATCAAATTGAGATGAAATACCTCATAAGAGAAGTCTACGTGCCCTGGAGTATCAATCAGATTCAAGCAATATGGTTCATTTGCATACATATAACGCATTCGAGCTGCCTGCAAATGGATTGAAGTATAATCAGCAGGAACATCAAATATAAGGAAGGATTTAAAAGAAAATAAAAAATTTTAAGAAAAAGTCCGCATAAAAGCAACAGATAACCTCATAACAGATCCCATGTCAGCAAGGATACATAATTAAGAACACTTAATCAGACTTTCCTCACCACCATTAGCTTAGACAGATATATTATCCAAAATTCAAAATGCAAAAGTCGATATTCAAACATTGTTATAAGATTGATAAATAAATAAACAAATAAATATTATATGTATATATATATATATATATATCTTCATTTTCTGTGAGATGATAAGAATGGTAGCTTCTATATTGGATCATAGTAGCTTTTGAATTGGATCATAATATTGTAGCACATTAAGGCATATAAAGAGGATACAGAAGAGAGATAAATCACCAACACTCCTATCAGCTGAAGTCATAGTATAAAATTATGGTACCCCACCTCATTTCAGTACATATTGCCTTTGATAAGAAATTATGGGATTCTAGAACAGCACAAAAGTGTACAAGGATAGGCCTCTTCAGATTTCAAAGAAGAGCCAGCACAATTCTCCTACCTGGACATGGGTATTGAAGCCTTTCAAAGTAGTTGTCAGAGGTTTTAAGCAAAAAATGTCAGATTGGTAGGCAAGGTTAATAGAATTTCCATTGAAAGGTTTAAAGATCAACCATTTAGATGGGTAATTAAATTATAAAGTGAGAGAGAGAGAGAGAGAGAGAGAGAGAGAGATTAATCTTTGTCTTGTTTGAACATGGCCGTAGGAAGGGAAGCAAACCTAATAAACAATAAATAGGCTTGAAGGTTTTTTGCAACTATGATAAAGGAGATGACGATATAAATGTGATTTCAGGATGCATCCAGGGATGTTTCGGTAATTGACCAGTGAGAAAAGGTTTAGTTTGTTGTTATAACTTATATACTGAAAAAAGGGGCTTAGGAAGTGATAATTCGTATCATTAGCACAAAGAACAGCAATTCGGAAAATGGGAGGATGCTGTTGGGGGACAATGTAAGAAGTTGAACTTGGAAGGCGATTAGTAAAAGATTCTTCACACTCATGTTGCTTTTGATGTGAGAAATAGAAATTCTATTTCCTTTTGGCATGACATTCAGTGTGTTGTTGAGCACTACAAAGCTCAGCATCCAAAGTCAACTCTGTTGGCAAGGGTAAAAGGCTTTGATGTGCTCTTGTTTATCCAGGCCTAATGGGAGGGAACTTGAGACTTGAATTTTTCAGGGAATGTTCAAGATTGACAGATAGAGACAATTTCCAGCTTCTTTGACATGCCTTACAAGAAGATGGGTGATTTGAATAAAAAGGACAACCCATAGAGACTTGGTAAAAAAAGAATTATTAAAAGCAGAAAATATTTAGTAAGTAGTGAAGAAAATTTCAAGTGTACACAAGAAGAGCTTACCTTGGAAACTAGTTTGGAGGACAAAAACCCCAAGAAGGTAGCATTTTTGCTTGGGGAAGGGCTTTGACCATTGAAAACCTCCAAAAAAGAGAACAACTTATTCTGAATAGCGCTTTCTGTGCGACGCATTCGAAGAATTTGTTCATTTTATTCTCTTGAGTTGCTCTAGAGCAAGACAGTATGGGTCTTTAGCTTATGCCATGCTGGACATAGCTTGGGTTGCAGCAGGTTCAACTGTAGAGGAACTATTGGCCTAAAATAGTGTACTTGCTTGTACCAATAGAAAGAAAGTAATAGAGTTACTCCTTAACTTAAATATTCGACTATTGTGAAGGGAATGCGATAAAAGAGTGCTCCCATGGTGAAGTGTTAGGCTTAGGAAAGCTCCTAGATACTTGATAATTTACATTGTGTTTTTGATTTAATAGGCAGTAGTGCATGGATGTAATAGGTGCTTTAGATTTTATTAATATTGTCTTGTAATTAGCCAAGTCTTCTATTACATTTCTCATATAGCATTTTCTGAAGTCAACCAGTTGCAATAAGAAATTTGAACACAGCAGGAAGCATTATTAGAATAAGGAAACCCAATTACATGATAATATCACTTCCAAATCCATAAATTTAATTTATACAAACATTAAGGATAACAAGTGTAACAATATAATCAAACTGTCACAGTCAACACGCATATAGACAACGTGTTTCAATCAGAAAGGTTAACATGGGATTGAAACACACCCATGAAACAATAAAAGCCAATGGATAAGGCCGTTTAACAGATATATGTAAGGAGTAGTTACTAAGTAGGCCCAAAAACAGGATGGAGATAGAAATGGAGAAATGAACAAGTTTGTGCCCTTCAAAAAGACTTCAGTCAGCAAGAAGGAAGTTGAAATGAGCAGATAGGAAACAAGTTAGTATTACTGTTTATCATAGACATGGTACTATATCGACAAGGCCACAAGGGTATGACAATCCAACAAAACGCTTCATACAACTCGCTTTAGGTAACAAATATTCACATTCAGAAACTCAACCTGAAGTTTGATGGTAATGCCTCTTTCCCTCTCCAAGTCCATGTTATCAAGAAACTGCTCCTTCATTTCTCGCTTCTGCACAGTACCGGTAATCTGTAGCAACTTGTCCGCCAAAGTTGATTTCCCATGATCAATATGTGCTATGATGCAGAAATTTCTGATGTTGGAAACAGGGACCTTCAAGAGACGGTCTTGCCCAACTTTGGCACCCAACTGTGAGTCATAGTGCTCCTCCTTTACATCCGTCTGCGTCTCAGCGCCCTGGCAGACCACTTGAAACCGGGAATGTTTAGAAAGGCGATGAGTTGGTGAGATATGAAGCGCGGACCACTGAGACCTCCTCCAATGCTGCTGCTGGCCTTGCCAAGTGTTTACGGATAACAAGGCTGTTAGCCCAGAGCAGAGCACCTTAGCCATTTCTCACTTTTGCCAGGGCTTTGCTTGCTGCTTGTGTAGATTCTTCTCTACGTGTACTATTTTCTCTAAAATTAATTCAATTTGTGTGAAGCAAGTTGTTTCGCGCAACCTCATGACAGCCACAAAAATCGGAGTAATCTTGGGCTTAGCCCGCCGTTAAATAGCCCAGCAGTGACCCCTCTAGTTCCTTGTATCCAATTGCTTTGTCCGCGGGAAGGTCAAGCTCACCCTAGTAATATTATTATATGAGATAATATAATTTTAAAATTTTTTGGTTTGTTTTTGGTTATTCTACTCCATGTAATAAATAGAGAAAATTGTCAAAAATAACCTTTCTAATAAAATCACTTCAAAAATGACCTTTACTATAATTTTAACTATTTTTAAATAATTTTTTACATGACTTAATAAAAATACCTTTGAAATCATTTAATTCAAATTAAGTGATCTCGATTTCTTTCTCCTCTCTCGTCATTCAGATAAAAATTTCAAAATTAAATCTCGATTTAACTATCTCTCTGTCCAGCTCTCCAATACCATCGGGGTCTATATCTCACCGTCTAGCTATCCAACGCCATCAAGGTCTATATTGCTATCCAGTTTTCTCACCAACCTAAAATGTAGAGATAACATCAAGGTATTTGTTATGGTTTTTAGGTCTTTTTTTATATTCATAGAACGTAAAAGTTGATATATAAATTATATGAATTTGAAAACTTAAATCTGACTAAGAGTAGTAAAATCAATCAATTTATAGGCTGTGAGAATGTTTGTTAAGCATTGCGTCACTGGATATTAAGGTGTGTAACTGGATATAAAGAATCGTAACTTGTTTATTTGGCATTACATGAGTGAATATTAGACAATGTGGGACTAGATAGGAGGCATTGCGAGACTAGATTTTAGGAATTGCGTGAGTTGTGCATTACGTGACTGGTTTGTAGGCATTACGTAACTTGTTTGCAGGCATTGCGTGATTGACTTTTAGTAATAGCGTTACTTTATCTACCTAATGTTGAAGTTGATTATCTACTAATTCAACTCCCTTAATTCCACTTATATCGGTGCATAAAACTATCCAGATTCGATTGACATAGAACTCTAAAGTTCTCTTTAAAGTACTTAATGCATTGATTTATGAACTAACTATATTCATCAAGAAACAAGCCTTAAACCATTGAATACCCTTCCAAGAGTTAGCATTCATGCCTATAAAATAAAGGGAACCATTATCCATTTTAATCAAAATCATTTGAAGGAAAATCTCAAAATTCTAATGGCATTCAAACGTTCCAGAGTTGAAAGTGGGAAGGGTGATGCTACTAAAGAGGAAGATATCTTTGATAATGTTGCAGCATATCTGATCAAGTTGATAGACCAAATTGAGAACATGGAGAAGGATATGCGTGAGTTGATGGATAAGTTGATAGTTAGGATAGAAGTCTTGAAGACAAAAATTCTGAGCACTAACAAGATCCTAGCCAAAATTTATGAAATAATAGATGAGATTAGGAAGAAATGAACCATGGTCCATATGTTGTATCGTCTGCTTTTTTCGGCTAATGAATAAAAATATTGATTGATCACATATTTTCCTTAAAATAAGTTACTGCGTTTAATTTCAATTATGCTAAATAACTTGGTTACTTATCCTACTTTTTTAATTTTCTATTTAGATAAGAGAAACAAAGGTATGATGACAAAAGTTCAAGTATTATTTTATTTATAGGCATTAAGTGAATGTGTATTATGCATTGTGTGAATGGATATTATGCATTGTCTGAATAGATATTAAGCATTGCGTGTTTGGTTGTTACGTGTTGTGTGATTGGTTTTTATGTACAACGATGTAGAGCCAATGCATGACTAAGTATTTTGGCATAATGAGATTGGATGTTAGGCATTGTGTGACTTATTATTAGGTATTTTGAGACTCAGTTATAAGCATTGCATGAATTGTGAAATGCATATCTTGTGTTAAGACATTGTGTGACTGATTTTTATGTATTGCATGACTTGTTGTTATGTATTGCGTGACGTTGGGCTAATACGTGACTAGTTATGTTGGTATAACATGAGTAGATATTAGGTATTGTGATATTGGGTTATAAGAGCTGCATGAATTGTGCAATGCATATATTGTGTTGAGATATTTCTTAAGTACTTTTTAGGCATTGCGTGACTGATTTTTATGTATTGCATAACTTGTTGTTATGTATTACGTGACGTTGGGTCAGTACGTGACTGGTTATATTGGCATAACATGAGTAGATATTAGGCATTGAGTGACTTATTATTAGGTATTGCAAGACTGGCGATGCGTAACTTATGCAATTCATCTCTTGTTTTGAGGCTTTTGTCACTAGTTTTTAAGCATTGCATGAATGTGTGTTAGACATTGCAAGACTAACTTTATGTTACTCCATGACTTAGGCATTACGTAAGTCATTTTTATGCTTTGACGGTCAATTTTTAATAAATTAATTGATTGTGATACTTATTTTTGGTTAAATTTGAGCAGCTTGCCACATGTGAAGCTTATGATTACATACAGTGGTCATTGGGTCCATGACATTTACAAGGGTGCTGAGACACAAGTGAGGGGTGTTGGGAGTCATTTATCATTTCTCAGGCTTAGTGAAGCTAGTTGAAGAGGTTTTTGGGGTCAATTCATATAATAACGAAATCGAGCTACATGCATTGCTCAATCATGCCATAGGGGTTTCACACACAATTATTAGGGATGATGAAGATGTAGTAAGTATTTTGCGAGACAAGAAGGCAGTTGTTGTGTTTGTGACAGTTAAGGCATGAAATGAAAACTATATTCCACATGACATGGTATCCAACACAATAATCACCTACAATAGAATGTTAACTATTCTGACATACCACACCATGCATTTCCTAACAAACAACCATGGCAATCACGTTTGACGTATCCTCATGAGTTTGAGCAGCTTGGTACACACATGAAGTGTCTGCAAATGATGTCTACACAATTCCAATAAGAATGTGCATTGAATGAAATACTTGGTACTTTGCAACAAACGCAACTATAGCTTGAAAATGCAGTGGGTCCATTGTCATTTGCAAATGACACTATGATGGTTGTGAGTGATAACGATGCATTTGATTAGATTGAAGATAATGTTGAAAAGGATGACATGGTACATTAGAACGATGAGTTGCAAGATGATTGTGAAGATGATTACATTGAAAGACATGATGACTATTCAAAGGATGACAGGGGTGAGCACAACAACATTCCAAATTGCAATCATGCAGATGGTAGTACAGAACATGCCACAACTATTGTGATAGAAAAGGTTTATTGTGATGACCATGCCATAACTGTTGAATTAAAAGATGTTGAAGGTCTCAACCCTATTTATGACAACCTCATCGCACTCAAGAACGATATTCGTTCGCTTAATGACAGTGATCAAAAGAGGGTAAAAATAGGGATATCTCGTCAATGGATTATTCCCAAGGTAGATATGATATCCTTCTAAACAATTGTGATTGAGGAATCCAGATCAATGGATGACCATTTATATCACGAAAAAGTGTATCCATCGAAAGTTGAATTAAAACGAGCTTTGAGCATATTGGTGCTAAAAGAGCATTTTGATATTAGAGTTAAAAAGTCATGCCATGCTCGTTTGGAGGTTGGTCATAAGGAGAAGGCATGCAAGTTTGCTTTGCGTGCAACAAAGTTGCCTGAGGGAGAATATTGGCAAGTTTGAACGTTGTAGAAGGTACGCACGTGTACTATTGATAGTTTGCAATGTGGGTACCAAACTGCGAGCGCTAGGTTAATTGGTGAGCTTATCTCCACCAGGCTGCAAGGAAATAATGTAACCCCATTGAGACCTAAAGAAATAATGGAAGCGATGAATCGCAAATGGGGATTGCAATGCCTATATGGTAAGGCCTAGCAAACGAAGGAGTATGTTGAGAGTCTTGTGTTGGGTCTCTTAGAAGAGTCATTCTAACTCTTCTCCTTGTATTTTCATATGTTGGAATGTGAAAATCCCAATATTATCACTATTGTTGCTACGAATAGGGAACAACGATTCAAATATTATTTTTAGGCATTAGGGTCATGTATTCGGCGTTTAATGTTGTAATGTGGTCTGTAGTTGCTATCGATGCTACACATCTGAAAGGAAGATTTAAGGGTATTCTATTTGTTATGGGATGCAAAGATATGAATGAGCAAATATATCCAATTGCATTTAGCATTAGCCATGTTGAGGACAAAGAGTCTTAGTTGTGGTTTTTTACCCAATTGCATTGTTCGATTGGTTATCCTAAAAATGCAATGTTCATTTCTGATCAGCATCTTGATATTAAGAATGCAATTGAGAAAGTGTACGAGGATGCGCATCACGGTCTATGCAATTACCACTTAGGAAAAATGTTAAAAACAAGTTCAACTACGAAGATGTTGTTGAGATTTTCACCCTGGCTGCCAACTACTATAGGCTCATCTATTTTAACAGAAATATGAATAAGCTAAAATAGTTTTGCAAACTTGCTTATGACCGCTTTCTGATATTAGGCCCTAAAAGATGGGCACATGCACGGTCACCAGTAAAGCAATACAAGCTCATGATATCCAACATTGCAAAGTGTATTATCTCCTGTCTAAGGCATGCAAGAAAAATGCCAATAACTATCTTGATCGAGTGCATCAAAGGCATATTCCAATGTTGGTTCCATGACTAGCATAATGAGGCATTGAATTTGACCATGCCCTTCAACCCTTGGGCTATCGATTTGTTGAACACATAACTCAGTGAAGCATGTCTCTTTTCCACACAACTAATAGATCAGGTGGAGTTCCAAGTTATAGGTAGGACTAAGGACAAATTCATCAACCTGTCCACCAAGATGTGTTCATGCGGTGAGTTCCAAACTGATCTACCCCCCCACACGCATGCCATGGTGGCAATAAGGTATGAATAATCATGTTTTCTTATTTTGTGCGTGATGAATTGAAATTTTACATTGTTCGCCAACTGTGATTTCAATGCCTTGGCAGTAAGTGCAAACGTGAAGCCATTGAATTTTGCTTGGACTTTTACAATA